CTCGAGACACAGGGTTCAACAGTAGTGTGGAGAGACAGTGACAGAGAGAAGCAGAGGCACAGAGACAGGGCAGGTTGTTCTCTGTGTTTCCTGTTGTTGCAATAAAACTCAGCTGATCATCCCACGGAGTACCTTCATTCTTGGACCACGTATTTCTGTCTTTGTTAAATAAATATTGCCATAACAGAGAGTATAACATTTTAACATGTTATAAAACTCAAAAAAGTTGATTTTACAAGATATTGCCCCTTTAAAGTTTTTGAAAATGCATTGCCTCCTTTTTAAATATTAAACAGTACCTAAAAATGCTCTAAACATCTTTCAGTCTGTTAAATTTTGTGTAGAGAAATGACATTAAATCAAGAATTCAAGGATTTTTATTTGTGTTTTCATTCAAAATGAGGAATGAAAGATAGATACTGAGGTCATAGTTGTCAGCAACAAATAAATAAGCAAATAAATAAAATAAGTCATAAGAAGATAAGAAAGACAAAAGAAAAAACTGTACATAGTGTGTCACACATGGAGTGTATTGCAACTAGGGGTGTCCCGATACCAGTTTTTTCAAGACTGAGTACAAGTACGAGTACTTCAGTTTAGGTACTCACCGATACGATACTGATACCAAGTAGCGGGGTTCATGTGGATTATTATTGTTATTATATAATATATTACTAAGCACAGTAACAGCCACTTTCTTAAGGTTTGGGAACTGGTGAACATTTGTGTCACTCCAAAACTTAATYGTCCATTTGTGTGCAGCTCTTCAGGCAGCGACAGTGATAACTGCATGTCCACAAGTTCAAGAACGAACTCCCCCTCCTCACTAGAAGGGACCACTCCCTTTGCGCTGGCGGAGAGATTGTTGTCTGTAGCAAGAGCAGCAAATGGGTCTTTGGTAAAGCGCATCACCTCTGTGGGGAGTGAAAGGCCATTCAGTCGGCTGGCAAAGTTGTCTTTTAGTTTTGCAACTAAATCCATCATCGCTGCTGTGAGAGGTGCCGTCTGTGTGATGCATTTGCGTAGCGTAGGAAAATGCAACATTCTTCCTGAGCTCAAGTCGGCAGAAAATAGTTCCAGTTTGGCTTGAAATGYGCGCGTCTGTTCCACCAGATCAATGACGGTTTTCTCTCTGCCCTGTAGTCTGAGGTTTAACTGATTTAAGTGTTTGAACAAATCAGAAAGGAAACACACATCTGCCAT